AAAAAAAAAAAAAGGAACAAGGAAAATCTCTTCTTACTGATAGGAAAGGGTTTCCAGGGTACACTGTTAAGTTAAAAAAAACCCAAAGGCACAAAAGAGTGTATATTTTATGCCACCTTTTGTGAAAGAAAAAAAGGAAAAATCAATAAAAAATATGTGGTTTTGCTTATTTTGATAAAAGGAAACAACTGGAAGGCTAAATCAGAAACTCATTTAGTTACTTACAGAGGGAGGGAAACCGGAAGGAGGAACTAGGGATGGAAGTGAAACTCCTCTGAGTATAATTCCTCAAATGGCTTAAATTTTTTAATCACAGAGATGTTTTATGTGATTCAAAAAATCAAATTTAATCATAAAGAGGAAAAAAAGCAACTCTGAAAATTAAAAACAAATTGAAGCAAATAAATTTAACTATATATCAAACTAGATAACAAAACCACATGGAAAAAATAATCATCTCCAGTAAGTTTTGAACACGGTACTCTGACTGCACACTCTTTGCAGTCTATGGACAAAAAAACTGCAGAGAAATCTGAAATATTACTCAGTAGTTTTACTGTTTATAGTAATACTGGTGTTGTAATTTTGAAACTATTTTATGCCTAGCAATTAAATAAATAGGTCAGTGTTAATTTTTGAAAGTATTAACAGTTTATTTTTTTTTTAATTTTTTTTTTGAACGTTTATTTATTTTTGGGACAGAGAGAGACAGAACATGAACGGGGGAGGGGCAGAGAGAGAGGGAGACACAGAATCGGCTCTGAGCCATCAGCCCAGAGCCCGACGCGGGGCTCGAACTCGCGGACCGCGAGATCGTGACCTGGCTGAAGTCGGACGCTTAACCCACTGCGCCACCCAGGCGCCCCGAAAGTATTAACAGTTTAAAAGAAAATATAAGAAAAGCCCTGAAATTAAAATTTAAATCAGTGACAGTATGAACTCAAGTATTATTTAAAAAATATAATGCCTCAGGATGCCTGGGTGGCTTAGTTAAGTGTCTGACTTTGGTTCAGGTCATGATCTTGCTGTTCAGAGTTCAAGCCCCGTGTCAGGCTCTGTGCTGACAGCTCAGAGCCTGGAGCCTATTTTCAGATTCTGTGTCTCCCTCTCTCTCTCTGCCCCTCCCCTGTTCACACGTGCACGCGCACTCTCTCTCTCTCTCAAAAATAAACATTAAAAAAATATATATATAATGCCTCACCTTGTCTATTGACACCTTAACCTGGAACACACAGTTGCACCAGACTGTTTCTAAATATCACCCCCTGCTAAAATGAACAACGCTGAGAATTCACAAAGTGAGCCTGGGACATCTTAGAAAAAGAAAGCAAGGAAGCACTCAAAAACTACCTGGGGTTGTCAAAGGATACAGAACCAGGGGTACCTGGGTGGCTCAGTCGGTTAAGCATCCGACTTTGGCTCAGGTCATGATCCAGAGTTCGAGCCCTGTGTCCGGCTCTGTGCTGACAGCTCAGAGCCTGGAGCCTGCTTCAGATTCTGTGTTTTCCCCCTCTCTCTTTCTGCCCCTCCCCTACTCACACTGTCCTCTGTCTCTCTCAGAAGTAGATAAACATTAAAAACATTTTTTTTATTAATAAAAACAAAATAAAGGATACAGGACCCAACTTTAAGGGGCTCCCACTGGCCAAATTTGGGATGACTTGAGCAGTATAAAGAATTATAAATGCAACTAACTGTAAAACACAATAAATGAACATTCATGAGTCATATAATAATTTCAAAATCTCATTTGCTACCATAATTGAAGGTGATTATGGCACCCACTTCTTACTCTAAAAATTGGTAGTTACAGAAAGAATCAAGCATTGATCCTACCATTTTTGGATGAACTAAAATTCATCTTCAATTAATGATGAAAAGCTCTTCTTTACAGAATAATGTCAAGTATTAAAGGTAAAAGTAATTGGAAAATCACCATTTTTGCAATCCCTAATGAAATAAATCATTTAACAAAGAAGCATCAACCCATGCCAAAATTATTATGTGAAAGGCTGTTAGAGAGCAGGATGTTTGCATGGTGCCAAAGCATTACCCCACAGATTACCTACCCCTGCAAAAGCGGAAATAAATCTTTGTACTGGACTCAACCAAGTGATCCAACTTAACCTCACCAGCCTTGATACAACCCTGGTATTATGGCTCACTGATGTGACATCCAAAGACTGGAGTAGACTGGAGTAGACAGAGGCAACACTTCTCTGAGTATACCCTTTTAAACAGTTTTGACTTTTGAATCACGTAAATGTTTTACATGTTCAAGAAACAAATCATAAAAATAAAAAGCAATCCTTAAAATTAAAAACAAACTGAAACAAATATCATTGGAACACAATATCATCTATGAAATACCCTTTCCAAAAACTTCAAGCCTGAGTCTAATCAAGCCTTTAAAAATTCCAATTCACAAGAAATCTAAGGGCTAGAAAAACAAGTTAAAACAACACTGGAAGGAAAGACAACTAGCCTGGTCTCTTCAAAAAGTCAATGACATGGAAGGAAAAAATTTGTGGAGAAATTACTCTAGATTAAGGAGACATAACAACTAATTACAATTAGATGTTAGTTTGAAAAAATATATGGCTAAAAAATAAGTTTTTAGACAATTAGCAACATTTAAATATGCACTGGATATTAGATGCTATTAGGGAACTGTTCATTTCTCTTAAGAGATGCATGCTGAAGTATTTAGGGATGACAGGTTACGATGCATACTTCCAAACGATTAAGCAGAAATCTAAAAATATGTACTAAATAGGGGTGCCTGGGTGGCTCAGTTGGTTAAGCGTCAGACTTCAGCTCAGGTCATAACCTCTTGGTTCATGAGTTTGAGCCCCATGTCAGGCTCTGTGCTGACAGCTCAGAGCCTGCTCCTGCTTCAGATTCTGTGTCTTCCTCTCTCTCTGCCCCTCCCCCACTCACAGAGTCTCTCTCTCTCTCTCTCTCAAAAATAAAAAACATTAAAAAAAGATTAAAAAAATATATATGTAATAAATACACACACACACACACACACACACACACACACACACATATACACACACAGAAAAAAAATGTGGCCAAACATTAATAATTGTTGACTCTGGATAAAACAGGTATTCACCATCTTTTAACTTCACTCTGTTTGGTACTTTTCCATATAAAGAAGTGGGAAAAAATTTCTACACCTTCATGAGGCTACAAGGGTAAGAGGGGAAGGGAGACCATACCAACCATTCTTTGGAAAGGGACATACAAGTGAGCACTAAATCTTTAGTCAAAATTAAGAGAAATGTGCAAGTGAGGAAGTCAGGACGTTCAGGTGCTATCAAGACAGACAAAACCTCATGGAGGAGGGAAGGGTCTCCACAGTCCTCGCTCACCATGTGTCACTCCCTCAGTTGGCTGCTGCCTTCCATTGCTCAAACTCTCAGGCAAATTTTTCAAAACTGAAATAAGCTTAAAAAAAAAGAGAGAGAGCAACACATTCAAGATGAGAACAAAAACAGAAATACATTATAATTCAGTACCATGACACTATCAAACATTTTGAAGGAGCTGTGTGGCAGGGCAGGGCAGTAAACTGGCTTAAGCTGTGATGACACGTGTCTACTCAATGGAGTTTGAGTGTGGATGTTGCTCTCTGCAGGGTATGGGGCAATGTTATGCTTTTAGAGAACGCTGAGCTTTGCCTGGCTATGCAAGCTCTGGTGTCAGGACAGCATGTGCTCCAGAATCCACACTCTGACCCTGAGGGAGAGAAGGGAGTGGAGCCTCAAAGAAGGAGAATGTACTCTGGAGTCACACAGTTCTGGGTTCAAATCCCAATTCCACCACCTACCAGCATGTATTGTGGAAAAGTTATTTGAGAAGTTTATTGGGAAGGTAAAATAATAATAATAATAATAATGTCTACAGAGTTTCTAGAATAGTCCTGGCACATGAGCCAGTGCTCGATAAATGAGAGCCACTATTACAAAAACACTTCTGAGGCGAGTGCCTAGATTAGAAAGCACCATCTAGATGGGGGAAAACTGTCCTCTATAGAAAATTAACTAGTTCATGTGAAAATCATTAATTTGGTCACTAAGCATTCACTCAGACCTACTGTATGCAGATTCAAGCTACACAAAGCTGAAGAGCTCGTGTATAGCAAGGGGGTCCACAGAGCTCCAGTGTGTGTGGAGGCGATGGCGGCCGCACAGGCACAGAAGTGGGAGAAGTGCCCAGTCACCGAGTGAATGGCCACTGGCCAGTCTGACGGGGGCACCAGGTGATTCTATGAGACTGAGGGTGAGACTGGCAAGAAGAGTCTAAAGGCCTCTGAAACGTGGTGTGGTGGACCACAGAAACACATGCATTTCATTTGAGAGCCTTTATTAAGCACGTACTCGATAAATTTCTCAAAGACTTACATGAGAAATGCCAACCTAAATTTTAGAAAGCCAGGGATAGAAATCACTTAATAGAAAACAGCTGCAAATTTCACATCATGCAAGTGTTCCTTTCATCATAAACAGTTAGGAGACCTACTGAATGAGTAGAAAGCAGTGGGATATGGGAGAACTGTACCATGTTGGCACCCAGTCTTGACAGCACTGCCTCCAGTTCCTTTGCGGTGCTCTTAGGTGGCACAGGAACCGTTTCCTGTTTGAGAATTGGGCCTACGTCAAACCTATAGAAAAGCAAAAGCAAATGATAACATTACTATTTTTTAAGATCAATGTGTTTGTCTACATGAGTGTTTACACATCACAAGAATAGTTTAACCCTGGCTGTGAATTTGACTGTTAGCCATTAGCCAAAGAGAAAGGTCAGTCTGAAATAAGTAAAATCTTGCCTGTATTTAGATCTTAAATCTATTTTTTCCCAAAGGAAATAAGTATGAAGCTGCACATTAGGGATTTAATTGCAGTTACAAATAATTCCACCTTGGTGCTCCTGGGTGGCTCAGCCTGTTAAGCGTCCATCTTTGGCTCAGGTCATGATCTCATGGTTCATGGGTTTGAGCCCCGCTTCGGGCTCTGTGCTAACAGCTCAGAGCCTAGAGCCTGCTTTGGATTCTTTGTCTCCCTCTCTCTCTGTCCCTCCCCTGCTCACACGCTGTCTCTCTCTCAAAAATAAAAAATAAAAAACATTAAAAATAATAATTATACCTTTAGCAATAAATAGTATTTAAAAAGTTTCTATTTATACAATGAAGGCATAGAGCAAAAAATTGATTTTCCAAGGAAGTACAATTAAATTCATAATGATTTCTTCCTATAATTCCTTTCTCAAAAGACAAGAGTTTTGCCTGGATTATAATCACTGGTGATTATAAGTAGGAACAAGTGTATTTGCATTCCCATAGTCTTACATTTTTACATCTAGCTCTGTAAATACTGGCTATCAACTTTTATTAGAAATATGCTTTATTTTAAATATTTAACTTTGTGGTTGTTAATTATAGTTCCAATTTAATTTCAATTTAATTTCTATTCTATAAGCTTTAATAAAATTCTTACTATGAAAAATTACAAACATCCATAAAACTAGAGTGAATAGTCACCTGATCCCCAAATAACATCACCCAGATTTTAGAATCATCAAAGTTTTGCAACTTGTTTCACATGTTCCTCCCTTTTTCTGAAGTTAGTTAAAGCAAATCCTAGATATACAGCTGTTCTTGTGAACCTGTGAATTATTTTCTATGGGGACATTAGGTGATAACAGATAGCAACTTGATATAATCCTGTTTCTTAAACCACAGTATGATTTTAAAATAATTAAATGTTTAAGACAGTTATATTACACATTGGCATACAATATAGTCTTATTTCAGGTTCCAAAAATTTTTGACCACAGAAACCTAGGCTAACAGAACTGAGATTTGTAATAACTAATATACAAAAATCCACCTCTCATTTACACATCTTTTAAAGAAATCCACTTGTTAATGGTATAATTTATTTCAATCAACAAGCCACACATTTCACAAGGACTTTAAAGAGATACTTCATAATACAAAACCACATATAGTTTGTGTTAGAAACCAGGAAAAGACAGAAAGGGAAGGCACTCTGGAGTTAAGAGGAATTGGCACCATCCATTCATCTACTTCCATGTCCCTTCCAAACAGATTGACAGCAACATTGAAAATTACAAAGTCTAGAGAAAAGAAAATATCTTCTACCTTTTAGGTCTAATTTGCATAATTGTCACTCCAGTAACTGTGTCTCCATGAAGCACGGTATGGATTATAGGCGCTGGACCACGCCACCTCGGGAGGCAACTGGGATGGACATTCAATATGCCACTGAGTCAGAAAAAGGCAGAAATTAGTGTGCAAATGGGCTTTACCATTTAGTTCCTGCTACCTAAACAAATATGCTACTTTTTATCATTATACTTCCTGAGAAAGTTTGAAAAACAAAGTTAAATCTAGTCTTATACCTGAGGTGCCTGGGTGGCTCAGCTGGTTAAGCACCTTACTCTCAATTTCAGTTCAGGTCATGATCTCACGGTTGGTGAGTTTGAGCCCTGCGTCGGGCTCTGCACTGACAGTGCAGAGCCTGCTTGGGATTCTGTCTCCCCTCTCTCTCTGCCCCTTCCCTGCTCGTGTGTTCTCTCTTTCTCAAAAATAAATAAAAGAAAATCTAGTCTTATATCATCAGTAAATGGAGCCAGAGATTAAGTTTACTTTATTACCATAAAAGGCCAATGAAACTCAATTAAAAACAGAACAAGAACAAACTCACTGTTCCAAAGGTGTTCCACAATAATCTGTGATGTCTGGGAGTTCTTAAAGATTTTACTTTTTAAGTAATCTCTACGCCCAACATGGGGCTTGAACTTAAAACCCCAAGATCAAGAATCACATACTCCACTGACTGAGCCAGCCAGGCGCCCCTTGGAGTTTTTAAATAAAAGCAAAAAATACCTTTTATACTGTATGAGAAGAACTACTCAAACCCTACTGTGCATCTCATGGACAATGTGAATGTTTATAGTTTAGTCACATAATTACCCTTGTTTCACTTAGTTTGCATATAGAATGCCTAAAACAAGCTTCTTGAATCCCCATCCAATGATGTATTTTTTTTACCCTAACACACGTATTGCCCATAGATGAGCAACTTAAATCATTTACTAAGTAAGCTATCTTAGTTTAATGATGTCTCCCCCGCAGGAATATGCACTTGGGAGTGTATGTCTAAGAGATAAGAGTCTTATATTCAAAGCTCTGTTCAGACCAGTCTCATTGATCCAACAAATATTTACTGAGCACAGTTCATGTGCTGGCATTGTTCTAAGTGCTGGGATACAAGCAACACTGAACCAAAGGAGAAGAAATTCTGCCCTCAGGGAGCTTATGCGCAAAGGGTGGGAGATAAACAACAACAAAAAAGTGCAAAAAGTCTGCCAGATGGTTCTAAGGGCTGTGGGGAAAAATAAAGCAGAGGAGTAGGAGTATTAGGTAGGAGACTACAATTTTAATAGGAGTCACAGAAAATTTTATCAGTAAGATGTGAAGAGGTGAGGGAATAAGACATGCAAACATATTCCAGGCAGAGGGAATAAGTACAGAGATCTTGAAGAAGGTAAATGCTAGGCAAGTTCAAGAACAGCAGAGAAGCCAGTGTAGTGTGGCTGGAGCGGAGTGAACCTGAGGAATAACACTAAGACAGCAAGGAGGGGACCAAACCCAGTAGGTAGGCCCATATAAGGACTCTGACCTCTTCTGAGATGGGAAAACACCAGAGAATTTTGAGCAGAATGACATGATCAAACTTCTGCTTTAAAAGGATCATTTTGGGGCACCTAGGTGGCTCAGTCAGTCAGTGTCTGACTCTTGAGTTTGGCTCAGGTCATGATGACTTCACAGTTGTGAGACTGAGCCCCAAGCTGGGCTCTGCGATGGGCGTGGAGCCTGCTTAAGATTCTCTCTCTCCCTCTGCCTCTCCCCTGCTTGGCTGCTGGGTTGGTAAAAGACTGAGAAGGCCAAGGACAGGAATAGACGCCAGTTAGGGGGCTACTGCAGAATGACAGTGAGAACAGCAGTAAAAGTGTTGACAGAGCCAGTCAGATTCTAGATAGAATTTGAAGGCAGAGCCCAATAGAATTTCCTGATGGACTGGATGTGTGGGGTGAGATAAGCAATAAGAATGACTGAAAGGTTTTGAGTCTCAACAACTAGAAGGGTAGAGTTGCCATTTGCTGAGATGAAGACGTAGGGAGAAGCAGGTTTGGGGCACAAGTTCAGGAATGCAGTTTAGGACATCTGATGTGTAAGGCGCCTATCAGACACCCAAGCAGAACTGTGGAGGAGGCAGTGTGCATCAGTGGCCTGGAATTCAGGGAGAAATCTGAACTGGAGGGACAAATTTGGGAGCCGTCAGCATATACATGGAGTTTATTTTATTATTCTTGTTAATGTTTATCTATTTTTGAGAGAGAGAAGACGCAAGGAGGGGAGAGGCACAGAGAGGGGGGTAGAGGATTGGAACCAGGCTGTGTGCTGACAGGAGCAGAGCCCGATGGGGGGCTCGAACTCATGAGCTGTGAGATCATGACCTGAGCTGAAATCAGAAGCTCAACCCACTGAGCCACCCAGGTGTCCCCATAAACAAGGAATTTAAGTGAGGGTGAGTGAGAGCCCATAGATGAAGAGCATCATATATTCGTGACACCAACACAATTTTTTTTACCTTAAAATACTAAAGACAGCAGAACTAGAATTCAAGTCATTGCACTTTAAACACCAGGCCCATATGCAAAGACCAAGTCCTCTATACTTTATTTCCTTTAAAAAAAACTTACTAGGGAAATTTAAGAATAAGAGCCTCACTCAAAAGTCGGCCAAATGAAGCTACCACTCCAACGTCATATTCTCCAGATCCCACATCTGGCCACTCATACACGGGAAGCTGAGATTGGACAGCATATTGCTTCACTGGCAGTCCTTTTGGTGATGGGGAGGGCACTGTGACCACCTCCAATTTTTCAATTAACTCTTCCTCTTTGTTTTCCCTACGATGGAAAGATTGGAAGAAAATGTTAAGACAATGACTCAAAGCTAAACTACCTCCCATACTTCCACAGTACTTTTGTGGTTAAATTCACAAAACATTTAAGGGTAAGTGATTAAAACTAGTACAACTGACTGAGTTTTTATTTTGTATTTAATTTTAATTATTTTTAAAGAGCCACATGTGGCTAGTGGCTACTGTTTGGATGGCATGACTCTAGAAATTTCCTGTGCATACAGAAACACATACAGTACAGACATTTTACACAACTAGGATATTATATATATTGCTCTGCATTTTGTTTTTTTCCTCTCAACACTATATATACCATTTTATGAGTCTTTTTAAAAAGTGGGTTAAATATACACTTGCTTGTATATCTGTCGAACATTTCTAAAATAAAAAACTGGAAACAGTAGCTGTCTGTGAAGAGAGGAACTGGGAAGTGATAGAGACAGAAGGAACTGACTTTTCACTGTATATCCTTTGAACCTTTTGAATTTTGTACCACAACCATGTGCTAGTCAAACAATAAATACTTTGCACACACACACACACACACCCATGGGCATCATTTCATAGCAGTACATTTAGTACTACTACTTTCTTTTTACCTGCTATGTAGTATTCCAGTACCCGGGGGTGGGGTTAATTAATTTAGCAGGTATCGCATCAGGTATGGAGAAGTAATAAGGAAATTAGTATATAGCGACAAAGCACAATAATGGAGTTGCCAAGTGAAACATCAGCAGAAAGGTCAGCACACAAGCAGTGCGATTCTGGAGGCAATTTGGGGAAAGCAGCATGTGGAGAGTACATCAGGGAGGGTATGCAAAGGGAACATGTATGAAGGGAGTGTTTCTGGGTGCCAGGGCAGAGCACTGGAGGGAGGGATATGATACAAGGGGATTGACGGGGGAGTCAATAGGAGGGCTGCTGTGTAGAATCTGCAGGGAAGACTTGGAGAAGGCAGAAATGAGTGTTGGGGACACATCAGGAAAAAACGGAGTGGGGAAATAACAAACGGAAGTTGGAAGAAAGAAGGCAGAGCAGTATATGTGGGTAGAGCCACTACCATATACCATACGGACTTTCAGAACAGAGTGGGTCTCAATTCGTTCCCCTGTAAATAAGATTTGTTAAATTTCAGAAATACTAAATGTACACCTAAGAGTTCTGATTTGTAAATTTATTCAGTTGAAAGTAGTTCGGTTGTGGACTATGTCCTCATTTTGGCTCCAGAAAACTGAGTCCCGTTGCATACAAGGAGATGGGGGGCAGGAAAGTGAGACATGGGTATGCCTGTGACCGGCAAGAAGCCCAAAGGATTGAAGGGTACAAATTAGATGAAGAGGAGGCAGAAGGAGTAAGTGGAAAGGGGAGGACTTTGAAGTCAGACCCCGTTTCAAGGCCGAACCAGCTCATTTGATGACCTTGGGCAATCTCCTAACCTCTCCGAGCTCCGGTTTCCTTACACACAAATGCGGCAAGAGGGTGGTGGCTGTGGTGGATGAGGTATGCAAAACGACTAGCGCGGGCTTGGCCCCTTGAAGCGCCCGGTAGCGCTAGGAGAACGGATAAAGCCGGGAGCCGGAGTGTAGACCGGAGGGACCAGACGGGAACGGTGCACCTTCCGGGCGCCCGGAGACGCCAAGATCTGGGCCCAGACCCTTCCGGCGCCGCTGCTATCCCTGACGAGGAGTCCAAGCCCTCGGAGCTGGCGCAGTGGCTCGGCAGCAGCGCCTTCGGCAGCCGGGCCCCCCAAGCCCCGGCCCCGGTACCTGGCGGCGTGCAGCGCCCGCAACGCCTCTCGGGCAAACTGGTCCGTACCGAAGAAGAGCACCCGCCAGGGCGGCTTCTCGCGGACTCGGACGCCCCGGCCGTCTTCCCCGCCAGGGGACGCACCAAGCCCGGCCAGCGCTCGCCACTGGGGGATCTGCCTTGCGTCCGGACCGCCACCAGCCGGCCGAGAACCCCAGCAACGCCGCACCAGCACCCTCATAGCCTCTGAAGGAAGCCTACCCTGCGCAGGCGCGTCGGAATGGGAGGCGTGCGCGTGCTAGGCCGGAGGGGCGGGGCCGGGGAGGAGAGCTGAAGGGCGGGTTCTGCTAGCGACTGGGGGCGTGGCCTGCACGGTTGGAGGCGTGGCCCGCCTGTGTTGGAGTTAACTAGGAATTTGCGGGCTCATGGGTCCCCGTGAATTTTGTTGCATTTGTTTGCACGATTTAGGCAGTCTCCCAAAAGAAGTCTTTTGGGAACAAATCATGTGTTTTCAGACAATAAAATATCATTCATTAAGTAATTATGATAAGTAATATTTACTGAGTATTGTATGCCATGCTTTGGCTAAGCATTTTATAGCCATTTTATCAGTTAATCTTCATATCAAGCATACAAGGTAAATATTATCATTTTATTGAAGAGAATCCGAGGTTCAATGAAATTAAGAGAATTACCTACCTGAGGTCCTGACAGCTAGTTCATGTTGTTCCAAAGTCTGTGATCCTAACCACTTGGTCTTCATCGCAATCCTATGTACCAGGCAAGTCACTGTCCCCATTTTGTACCTGAGGAAACTGAGGCTCAGTTATTTCCTCACATTCTGATGAATCGAAGGCCACAGACTTGCCCGTATCCTGTGGGTTCCCTCCCACACAGAACGATGCTATGGGGGAGATTCTCAGGGGAAAAAATCAGAGAAGCTGTCTCCAGAAGACCTGTAAGGGCCATTAGTGCTTAGATTCTGTATTCTGGAGGCCCACACAGTGGCTTTCTCATGTATGATCACACATCTTTTTTATGGCTATAGAGTGAAGATTAGATTCCTTTCTAATCTTACTCTTAACACATTTTCCCATCACATAGTCTTAGACCCAGCGACCTTGGATCAGTCCTTTTCCCTAAATTATGAGCTCTGCACATCCCTACTTCTGTGTCTTTGCTTGCTATTCTTTCTAGACTGCTCTCCTCACATCACTTACTCTCTAAATGATATCCATTATTCAATGCCAAGTTCAGATATGCTCCCAGAAGCCTCTAGCTCTTGCCTGCATGGATTTAATGTGCTTTTCCATGTGCCTCCTTCATGTTCTGTGGGAATCACTACTTCTCACCACAGTTTGGAATTACTGAGGGAAGTTGTCTTATTATGCATAAACATTGACAAATTCATCTGTGTGTGGAATAGAAAAGAGAAGCAAAGAGGAAGTGAGAGACTGTATTTCCAGTGATTCTGCTCATCTGATCACATATGAGGAGGGTGAACTGGGAACCCAAACCTTCTATTCCTTCAATCTAGTTTTGTTCCAGTATCCTCTGCAAGTAAGCAAAATATGATTCTAATATATTAAAAATGGTCTTTTTCCATACCACATGACCTATAAATGAAGCCCACATAGTCATTTGGGTTTTCACCCCAGAATCTGGCTGCTGTCTAAAGTGTGACTCTTTTTTTTTTTTTTTTAAGTTTATTTATTTATTTTGAGAGAGGGAGAAAGAATCCCAAGCAGGCTCCACACTGTCAGTACAGAGCCATGAACTGTGAAATCATGACCTGAGCTGAAATGAAGAGTTGGGCGCTTAACCGACTGAACCACCCAGGTGCCTCTAAAGTGTGACTGTTTGTATTTACGTCATCTCCTTGAGCTAAGCTGCATTATGCTACGATTAATTTTCTGCAATCCAAGGTCCCCACAGCTAGTCCTGTTCCCTAGAGTTGCAGGAGCTGTTCACAGCGCCCTCTGCCGATCACAGAGCGACTGCTTGGTCTGAGGACCAAGGCCAATCCGGTTTCTTTCCCTTACAGGGTTGTCTCCTGCCATTGACTTCTTATTTTCTAGTGGATGGTCTTTTTTTCTTTTTCACGTTTATTTATTTTTGAGAGAGAGAGCGAGAGAGCACGAGCTGGGGAGCGGCAGAGAGAGAGAGAGAGGGAGACACAGAATCCGAAGCAGGCTCCAGACTCTGAGCTGTTACACAGTGCAGGGTTTAAACCATCAACCATGAGATCATGACCTGAGCTGAAGTCGGTTTCTCAACCGACTCAGCCACCTACGCGCCCCTCTAGTGGGTGGTCTTTTGATTTGCAGCAAACTTCTTTTTAAAAAATTGAACATGATATGATTGTAATGGCTGAAGTTTTCCCATGATGCTAAAATGGAAATATTTCTGAAACCCGTGGTAGTAATTTAGGAATGTATGGGGAGGTCCACTTCTACATCCAGAAAATCCGTTGACGGAACTACAATAAAGCACACAGAGACAATGTGAACTCCAGCCCCTGATGGCAAGGAGTTTTAGGTAATAACTTAAGATGTCCAGAAAGCACACCCAAGAGGACTGGGATATAATATTACCCTGGTACTCCAGTTTCCAGGGAGTTCTCTCTCCTGATGAGCGGAATTAGTGTGTATGCTGAATCAATGAAATTTCTCCACGTTCTGAGTCTGGGTGACAAGACAAGAGCAGGGTCATTGACAAACAGGAAGACTGCTCGGTGGTAACTGTGATGACGGTTCAGCTTCATATGCTTTGGAATGGAAGTGGAGATGTTCGGTGGAAATCTAGAATGTTAGATTGACCTTAATGTCTGGAGGGTGGGAGAGCTGATCTAGAGAGGAAGCAGGAACATCTCCTCTCCCTATTCCCCATCATTTCACCCTAATCCTGAATATGTGTATCTGATTTCTGAGGAGTGGGGAGACCTGTTACAGATTAAATTTGTGTGTGCGTGTGTGTGTGTGATCAGCCCTTTAGTGCTGAGAGTAAAAAAGGAGGAACAGAACAGAAAGAGCACTGGGAAAGATGGAGAAGGGGCACAAGGAGGAAAATGGTCAGAGCTCTGATTGGTAAAATGGCCAATGCCTGAATCCACAAGAATTCCTGAATGTGGTCTGGACGGCAATGCCACATGTGACCAGGAGAAGGTCTACCGTACACAGGCATCTGGCCAGTGCCACAGTCAGGAACCCAACCACAGGGTGCAGTCCAATGAAGCCTTTTGGGATGCCAACCCCTTAGTGAGAAGTTCCATGTTATTACCACCTTCTGCCTGTGATTGCATCAGAATTCCGCAAGGGGGCACTGCTCACCAACCTTTCCTGTCGTTGAGACTGCTGGACAATTAATTCACAAGCTCCAGTGCTTTTCACTTAGATTTGGCTGTCAGTGTTGTTACTGCCCTCTTTACTTTCAGTAGACGTCCCTCATCAAGTGTCCACCTGCTCTGTAAAGCAGGACTGGGACTGCAAGGCCACCTGCTGGGGACAGACAGGGATAGGTTGCCCCAACCACCTCTTATAGATGATGACACAAATAGTAAGGAGGCTGTTTTCTGGACAGACTGTCCCCTGCTAGGAGCCTGAGTGTCCTTCCGTCCCAGGAAAGAGCTTAAGAGGCAGCGTGGGCCCACAGGATTGGGTGTCCTTGAGGAGAGAGATTGGAGAGATTAAATGACATTTGATGAATGTCAGAGCCCCAGGAAGGGAAGCCAGTTGTGGTACTATGGGAATGAGGAGCAGCCTAAGGGTAAGGAAGTTTTCCTTTGCTGCTGTAGGTAACCTAGTAAACCAAGAGAAATACCAAAATAGACACAAAGAGATCAAATCTTAAAATCTTTGGTTCCCCTCCCCCCAGGCAAAGAGCTGTACAATATTAACAAAAGGAAGGAGTATTTCTTTTTTTAATAAAGTACATTTTCCTAGCTCTGCAAGGAAATTGACAAGATAGTAATACCTCTCACATTTCATGGAATTCATAATTTGACTGGTCTAGAGACTGGTAACCATTTATAAAAATTATTCTTGAGAATAAGGGTCTCAAGAACTGCTGGGAAAATAATAGGAGGGAAAAAAAAGAACAATGGAGTTTTTGTTAATAGAAAGTGTCTGGTTACAATATAAGGAATGAAAGATATCCAAATAGATATAAGGCCAGTCCTAAGAAATCTTTCTGTATATGACTTTTAAACCAACGTCTTAAAAGTTGTATCAATACTTGATAAACAAATAGAACAGATTATACAAAATTATAGTTTCACTTAATACTCTTGATTATGGTGAGGCGCCAGGGTGGCTCAGTTGATTAAGCGTCTGACTCTTGATTTCGGCTCAGCTCATGATCCCAGGGTTATGGGATCGAGCCTCACGTCTGGCTCTGTGCTGAGCATGGAGCTGGCTTAAGATTCTCTTTCTCTCTGTCCATCTCCCCCACTTGTGCTCTACTTAAAAAAACAAACAAAACTCTTGATTATGGTAAGTACTTGGACAAGTTAAATATGTTTTAAATAGGTGTTAAATATGGTTTAAAAGAAATCCATTGCATATATCTAGAAAAGGGCTTGTATTCAGAATATTAAAGAATTTCCATAGATCGATTTTAAAAGGCAGGTAACCCAGTGGGAAAAAGAGCTGGACGCCCCACAAAAGAGGATATCCCAAGGGTCAATAAGCATATTAGTCAGCAAGGAAATGCATATTGAAACTACAATGAGATATAAACACATGACTATCAGAATGGCCAAAACCAAAAAAGATAATACCAAATTTTGGCACTGATGTAGAACAACTGGAATTCTCATACACTATTGGTGGGAGAGCTACTCTGGAAGATCATTTAGCAGTGTCTACTAAGGCTGAAAATATGCATATGCTGTGACCCAGCAACTCTACTCCTAGTGTATATATGTTCACCAAAAGACAAATTCACAAATGTTATAGCTGGACTCTTCATAATAGCCCCAAACTGGAAGCAATCGAATGGATAAACAATTTATGGACTTGTCAAAAATTGGAATACCATACAGCAATGGGAATGAACCAGCTATCCCTACGTGCAACAACATGGATAGATGTCACCAACATAACACTGAGTCAAAGAAGCCAGACACAAAAGGGTATATTCTGTGTGGTTCCACTTACATAAGGTTCAAAACACACAAACTAATCCACGGTGTTAGAATCAAGATAGTTGTTATCCTTGTAGGGAGTTTGGTAGCAGTGATTG